AGTCCAATAGTAAAGAAGGATAGGGCTCCTGGCTCTGCCACTGGCTGCCTGCTGCTCCTGCAAACTTCTCATTGATAATCTTTATCTGCTCTCTGACTGACTCAGGACCTGCAGGATACAAATCGATAACTGATCAATTCACTAGTTCACTCATTAATTTCAGTGTCATGTTTCACAGACCATGTTCTTCAGCAGCAGTACTCACTACTTTGGCGTGATAAACTTGACTTAAACTTGCATTATTTTATTATTGCATTATTATTTTATTTTTATTATATTTGTTTCCACTTGCTGTTTAAAGTGCCTTTAGATTTTGTGTACTATTTATCTACCTTATATTTCACTTTGTATCGTTTGGCATTCATTGTTGACAGCAAAGTAAGAATTTCATTGTACAGGAAAACACGTTTCCTTACTGTGCATATGACAATAAACACTTTGATTTGATGATTTTATAATACAACAATTTGACACTAAAATTCAGCACTGACAATTTTTTATAATTGGCATCATCGATTGTGTCGACTAATTATTGAAGGCGTATAAGTCACAAAGTGCTAGTTTACAACAATCTGCTGGTGTCAACCTCAGTTCATGTAAAGGAGAACCAGCAATGGCTGGTGTGTTATTATTGGCTGTTTTAACTTTGACATTCAGCTACAGGGATGTAAACAAGAAGAACACAAAGACATTTACCTGTGTCCACCTCCAACACCTGAAACACAAAGACACACACAGTTATGTTCAGACTATAAGCAGCAGCAGAAACACCTGCCTGTCTCCACACATCTAACTCCCTCAGCCTGACCTGGTGCTCATCTCCTCGAGGTTTCTCAAAGTAGTTGTGTCTCCGGCTCTTGCTGTCACTCTCTCTGTCTCGCTCACGGTGTCGGTCTTTGTCTTTGGGCGGTTTGGAGGACGAGGTGGAGGACGGGATGTAATCCCCGATGTCGTCGAAGATACTGCAACAGAAGGACATCAAGAGTGTGTAACAGCTCTGTGATCAGCAGAGTCCCAGCTGCAGGTTGTGTGGTGGTGCACTGACCTCAGATCAGCCTCAGGGGCCCTCTTATCATCCAGCTTCCCTAAAATACAAACACACACAATTTCCCACTGTCATGGTCTTCATCAGGGAGAAACAACAGAAACAGGCTGATGAACACATTATTGGACATACTGTATGTTTAGTGAATGTAGTTTAATGCTGAGATTAATGGTTAAATCTGCAGGAAGAAATTTCCTGGTGACAAAATGATCATGACAAACCAGTCATACTCACGCAGTACACCTACTGTAAAGTACTGCAGCCAGTCAGCACTCCCAGTAACCTCCTAGAAACAACTAGTATCATCGTCCCACAGTACACAGCACCTACAGCCACTGAACTACACTCAGGTCTGTGTGTGTGTTACCTTTGTCCTTCTTCTTGAGCTTCCTGTGTCGTGTTCCCTGTCTGAGGTAGGACAGGATCTGGGTCAGTTTGGAGATCACGATGTCGTTGGTGGTCAGTGTCGTCTGAGCCTGACAAACACACGACATAACAGGGTGTCAGTATGTTCTGGTTCTCAGTGTTCACACCTAGAGGTGACACTGCAGCTGGTTTCACTCAGTGAGGACAGTTTCATCACCATCTGAAGCTTCAGACCTCTGCTGCTTCACTGAGACAGAATCTTGTAACTGAACTATGTGATGGAACATAGTTTGGCTGAAATGCCAAGGGAATGTTCTTACATTCAGCAGCAGTCAAGTTTTGATTGTAATTTTCTTGCAGAAAGATTTGAAAATTGAGTCTCTCACTTGTTTTTCTGATGAGGGGTTACATTAATGCCTAGGACCGAGGGCTCCATGCTGAAAGCCAGCAGCACCACAACGGTACCGTGAGGTATGTGTTACTAATCAGCGGCTGGTGCCACCCCAGCTCTCTGTGTCTGTCTAAGAATGTTTGTGAATAAGGCTCCTGGTCCTTAGCAGGACACAGACGCTGCAACTATAGGTTCAGACCTCATGTTATCAGTGAAACCCTGAGACTGTAAGTCTCCTCACACCAGAACCTGGGCTGAAACACACGTGTCTGGTATCAGTACCTCCATGCTGGGACAGTCAGCTTTGCTGCGGATCAGAGTTGTCGGGATGTCTGTGTCGGTGAACTCGTCATCAAGGTCGACCACGTATGCCATCCTGCCAGGCAGAAAGAGCTCATTCCTCTCGATCACACCGGACCTGAACACCACACGGTAGATGTTCCTACCTGG